CTAATTTGTATGAGTGGTCGGATGTGATGGGATTACAACAGACAAATATGAATAATATGAATGGTCTGAATGATTTGAATAACCATAATGTAATTTCAAATCATATGGATCATTTTGCAAATAATGTTATGGGAATATCAACAGCAAATACACAGGAAACTCTTTAAATGTAAGTGTACACTCTTTTAATGCATTAATTTTCTATACATACTCAAATTCTGATCCAAATATAATATATTCGATCTTCTTAGATGCATTTCTTATTTTTCTCCAACTGTATATTGTTTAGTCTCTACGGGGAGTATATATTGGGTTAAATGGCAATGCAGGGCAATGTACAGGGCTATGTGTAGAGATGCGCTCAAACTCTAGTTTTACAGATTGGTTATTGATAGAAAAATTAAATCAATGACCAATACAAAATACTACAGGCTTTATACAGTACTTAAGCGCATCATCATGTATATAAATTATCTAGTTTTATGTTTGATCGTGAAGCCCCCTTAAAATTCTTTTTTTTTTTTTATTAGTCATCAAAAATAAAATATATATAACACATCATCTTATCTGCATACATAGAGTTAGGGTTATGGCACATCGTTTATAGAGTTATTAAATTTTATGATTTATTTATTATTCGAAAAAGATTTTGTTATCATTATACATGCGACCGAATTTCATTCGGATGTTTCTAATTGGTGACATGGTTAATATTACAATTTTTAAACGCATTATAATAAATATATCGATTAATTCACTATAAATATCTTGAATCTATTATAAAAAATCCTCTCTATCGATACTTATATTATCCGTATTTACGTTAGATGTATTTGAACTTTTTGTATCAGTTTCTAAATGTTTAGTAAAAAACCCAAGAAGAAATGGTAAGAGGCTGTTCTGGGTAGTCATATGAATGATTTCATCTCTAGTTTTTGCATATGATGCGAATGGATTAACTGGTGGACTTTTGTTCACAATATTCAAATTATTCCACATACTATTACTGATGCTATTTCTTATCGTTGGACTCCCATTAGAAATGTTTTCAAGTACATTAGTAGCTGAACTTGATCTATCTTTAATGGTATCCGTAAATTCCCTAATAGCATTTTCACTAGGAATCAATGTGTCTTTCAATATTCGTAAAGCTACTGCTTCAGCTGCTTTTGTTGGGTCCACCTGAGATGCTGAAGCCCTCACAAATCGCGTTGTATCTTCTTCTTCTTCCTCTTTTTCTTTATCGTCATCGTCTATAATCAAAAACTTTGGACTACTAAGACTATTTGATCGTAATTTTTCTTCTAAAACGTTGGTTCTTATGCTTTCAACCCAAGTGCGTCTACGTTCTTGTGAATCAACACTAAAATGATACTTTCGTATCATTCCATTGTCGGTGATAAATGAAATCTGAAAAGTCCATTTCATAAAGGCCCGTTCAACCAACACTATTTTGGTGGATGGCAAATTTATATAATTACGACAACGTGCCCCGGACTTAATAAGTACCATGGAATGTAGGCCTAATGTCTTTCCTGTTATGGTAAAAGTGCATGAATTTGTATGTGTGAAATCAAGCAAAGGCGGATCAAATATCAAATCTTGTCCATGAAGTCTTATAGCAAAGTGAGGATCAGGATGGGGAATTGTGATGGTGATAGGATCTGAAGGGGTAAGAAGGGTAAGTCGAGTTGGCCATCTCGCTGGATGAAGTTTTATTGGTATCTGTGGTGAGATATCTTCGAGTGTGTCGTCCCATGCAAACACTAATTTATCTTCGTAAATTGAATAATATATTTTTTCTAATAATTCATCAGGAACTAAGCAAAATTGATCACTTTCTCGACGAAATCGATTCACAAAGTCTTGAAGTGTGATGAAATCAGTCCTTTTGGCATTCTTGACATTTTGATTATACATAGAATTATGTCGTTCGTGTAATCCGCAATTGAGATCTAACATAGCAAACGTCAACTTTATTGACATTTCTTCATTGAACTTGACAACGTTGACATTTGCATTATACCAACGGTTTGCGAATGACTTTATTAAGTAATTGAAGGACTCTTGTTCGGGTGGTAGACATATACTCATCAAAAATACGCGTAAAGCCTCATCTATATAGAGACCCTCAAATCGAAATTTGTCCAAAAACGCGATCATAATTTCCTTGTTTTTTTGATTAGAAAGATATAAGCCTAATTGACGTTTGCTTAATTCGGACTTTTTAAAAAGAAATGCTGCAATATGAACTGGATCATTTTTTATATGCCGTCTCTCTAACATGTCAACTATTGCACCATGAGGATCTGTGGAAAATTTTCGAGAAAATGTTGCCATAACAGAAGGTTCTCTTTTCGGTGTTTTATTAATCAAAGCTGCATCACGATCTTCTTGCATAGTAAGAGCAATTTGGATAATTTGATGCATTCCAATGATATGTTTAACTTGATATAGTTTCTCTGTAGTGGATACATGGTTTTTTTGTGAATTGGCATTAATAGGTTTAGCAATGATTAATAAATCATTGAAAAGAAATAAATAACGATCTTGCACACTGCTACTATTCATAATCTGTTGCATGGGTGATTGTAATAAAAGTTTACGAGGTTGATTTTCCACCAACGATGCTGATTTTCCTGATGAACTCACTGGTGACGTATTAACAGAAGTTGATGATAATGAATGTTCTGTGAAAAAAGGAGTTTTTGGTGATGAAGATCTCTGGGTGAAAGTATCTATTGGAGTCACAAAATTTGGAGTTAACTCTGGAGTTGAGTCTTTATTTGTTTCGTAAGTGGTGGAAAGTAAAGCATGTGAAAATGAATATACCACTGGATGTTGATCTATGGACATTGTTGAATCGATGGAAAGAGAATGTGAATGCCCTCTACCAAAGCGTTTATAAAAGAATGTTGAATCAGAAAGTAAATCTGATGGAAAAGTATCATTTTCTTGTGACGGTGTATCTGGTGAACTTGGAGACATGTAATTATTTTGATCTGTTGCGTATATATCCGTTATCAGGCCTAGTTTTTGTCTGGAACTTTGAATGTCCGCAGATGATTCATTCGGTAAAGATGGTGGATATGGAGAGGTTTGAGAAGTAGATGTAGAGTCTGGAGCTGAACTATAGTTGTTAGGTGAATTCATTTATGTAAATTGTGAAAGGCTCCAAAAAAGACAAAAGACGAAAACTCCTGGCGAAATGGCGAAGTCCCGGCGAAACGGTGAAATCTTGGCAAAACTGAAAACCCAAAAAACCGGTGAAATCCTGGTAAAACGACGATATTCCAACTTTCTTAATATCGCCAAAAAAATCAATTTGGTATCAAATTTAAAATGATTTAATGCTGTTAGATATTAGAACCCTCCTAGCTTAACCAATAAAAACCTTGGACACGTGTTGATCGATAATATCTGGCTTTAATTCTGATTGGTCAATCGTTACATATTCAACTAGGACCAGCACAGGTTTTTTTTCAGAGCGTAACACTAGCGTAACCCGGGTTTACATGAGGAGAGCATCTTCCTGCGTTGCGAACATGAAGTAAAATTTCCAATTATATAATATAATTAGAAATTTTACTTTGTGTTCGCAACGCAGGATGCTCTCCTCATGTAAACCCGGGTTACGCTCGACGTACTCCTGACGCAAGGGCAAGGGCAGCCGGTAAAACTACGAAAAAAAACCTGTGCTACTAGACTATACAACTCGTATTGGAAGACTATATCAGTGATTTCCGAGATCAATTGGCCAATTAAAAATCAGGATCTTGATGTAACGTAAAAAAATTCAAAACCAAAATTTCTCGTGCAATTTTACTATTAGGCGTACACCTGATCCTGCACCTTGATTGGTCGATAGGGTGGTGACATTTAGCACTATTTTAAATGGGTGTAAAGTTCGATTTGATACTTTTTGAACCCATTTTATTGTCTTGGAAAATTATTAAATTTAAACCGAAAAAAAATTAAGCATCTAAAACAAATAACGATATTAAAAAGGTGATAAAACATAAAATAAGTAGCGAAAAATCTATGAAAGGTAAGAATTCATTTGAATATTATAGAAAAGGCATACTAATTCTAGCTCAGTCTTACGTTTTGATCTTTTTGATCCTTTTAAATCTCGTCTGGCTTTAATTTTTACGAAGGTTTCGTCAGATTTCGCCCTTCTCTACTTCCAATTTTAAATTTCGTCTTTCATCAGAGGGATTTGGTGTTTCGTCAGGGTCTCTTCTTTCGCCATTACACAAGAAAGGCTTCGTCTAACAACTGTATTTCAGAGAAAGTTCTTCAATATTATGAAGGTTTAAAAAATAATGACCGTTATTATTTAGCTAAAGCCATAACATTAGGTTCGGTGAAATAGTTCACGCTCTTAAAACAGTCCTTCTTTATTGAGCAGTTGAATTATTCATAGAATTTATTTAATATTAGTTGAATCGTCGCGTAAGGATCATAAATATCAAGCGCAACAGTTACTTTCTATCATTCTCGATGTGCAGCATTCGTCGGGCAATCGTGCATCGACATTCAGAATTGGCCTTTCCGGTCCGCCTGGTGTAGGAAAATCTACATTCATCGAACGCTTTGGAATGCATATTCTTTCTCAAGGTCATCGTGTAGCTGTTCTCGTAAGGATTTTTTATTATATTATTTTATTCCTGTTTATTTAATTTAAATATTGGTTCTACTTTTTTCTTTTGCTAGGCCATAGATCCATCTTCATCTCGGACAGGTGGGTCAATTTTGGGTGATAAAACCCGTATGCTTGAATTGTCACGGCAAGAAAACGCGTATATTCGGCCATCTGCAAGTCACGGTACACTCGGTGTGTTGATATTTAAAATTTTTATTGCAAATTATATCTTTAGTTAGCATTTT